GTGGTATTGACTAACGATCACAATCAACAAATTGGGACAAGAGATGACAATGAAGATAACAGCAGAAAGCTACCTTCCCAACTCCCAGTAATAAYAGTTGCAAATTTCATGCTTGGAGGTTCTTTCTTTTCTGTAGTATTGAAGAAGAAGTTGGATGGGTCATTGGTTCTGTTTGCAATGTACCGATCTGTGCTATAACTATAAAAGGGAAATCGTTAGGCAGAAAATTATGCTTACCACTCTRCCATGGGAGATCATAACCCACTTTTGTACTAGAAAAAAATATGCAATTTATTTGAAGAGTTTTTAATTTACTTGCTAAAGAAACTTTAGATATAGGCCCACATATTTATCAAGGTCCATATACAAAAACAGCACRGTTACATTTATGTTTATATTGGTTATGGTTAATATTTCGTGATGAGGTAAAAAGAAAATTCAGCTACATCATAGACRACTTGATGAAAATAGGGTCTCCCTTTTTTGCTAAGAGTGGAGGGTTGCTTGCTTGTGTGGTACTAATATTATTGTTCGTTTCTAACTGGCAGGTTACATCCTATGCTCATGGATCAGCTGAACTGTTGGGMATTCAAATTGATGCAGCAATTAACCCTGGTAATGGCAGCTTATATTTTCCTTTTTGCTTTACTAATCTCATGATGCTTTATGTTTCTTCCTGCTGTAACCACTGCTTATACCAGCCACTTTGTAGGTAATAGTGGTGGTCCTGCTTTCAATGATCAGGGAGAATGCATCGGTGTAGCATTTCAGGTAACTAATAGTCTAATATACTCCCTATGTTAGCAGAACAATAATACTATATCAAACATCAAAGTATCACAAATAGTCAATAGAATACTTCTAGTCAAAAGATTTATGAAAACACTGAAGTATTATAAGTTTAAAATTCATACTCCTTTTTTTTCTTCTTCTGAATGGAGTGAATTGGCATGAGATTTGGGAAGTACAGCTACTTGGCATGAGTTTTTGTGTACATTGAAGTATTAACTAGTTGGATTTGCATGAGATCTGCCGTCTGTATATGGAAAATCATAATTCCTCTTTACACATCCAATGCTYCTCAGTTTGAACATGGTTGGTACAGCTGCAGTTACTTGTTTGTAGTGATCGTAACAGAATCAGAGTCTTGAACAACATGTCATCAGTTATCTTATTAATTTCTGTTGCTTTTGTCAATAGCAAACCTCTTCTCCTTGCATATGTTCTTTACATTGTTTCTATTTATAGGTGTATAGATCTGATGACGTTGAGAACATTGGGTATGTAATTCCAACAACAGTCGTGTCTCATTTTCTGGATGACTATGAGAGAAATGGGAAGTACACCGGTGAGAGAATGTTCCTTATACCTATCACATCATATGCTGTTATTGCATGGACTTGAATTCATAAATGTTTATTGAACACAAACTGATGGYGTTCTTACATTGGCTACCTTTTCTACGACGTGTTTCTTGTTGCGGTTTTTCCCCTTATARTCATGATCTTATCCTTCATGATGAAATATAAGATGGTTCAAATTTCAGGTTTCCCTTCCCTTGGAATTTTATTGCAAAAGTTAGAGAATCCAGCTTTACGTGCCTGCTTGAAAGTGCCGTCTAACGAGGTTCATCTAAGAGGACTACTGGTTCCRTCACTTTGATGTCCGTACTTATTCATGACGTAGGATGCTTCACTAATACGATTGCAATCCCATTCCCCCAATGTCCATATATGCAGGGTGTACTTGTCCGCCGTGTTGAACCCACTTCCGGTGCCAGTAATGTCTTGAAGGAGGTATGCTACCATTTAAACTCWGATAATCAAGTATATAATTCACGAACAATGAGCCAGGAAAAATAAGATACAAGTGAAACACAGATTTTGGTGGACACCAGAATCAGGAAAAAAACAAGGGATAAGAACAGAAGAAAGCCACTTTAAAAAAAGAATATGACARTCACCCGGTCACCCCTAATCCCCAATACACAAAACCTTTCAAAAATCAACATACATGACGACCAAAAGAATGACGTCAAACCGTAAACTACTTGCATATTTATAATGCTGAATATGAGTGGGTTGCCTTTCTATGGATATGGTTGATCTAGGAGGTGAATTTCATCCAAACTGTCTATTGTATTATTTMCGAAAATGATGCAATCTCAATTTAAAACTAGAGTCATTTGTCATGTGGGTTGGGTTCTGGTGAGAATKCAAGTTATGGTGAGAAGGGTAAGAAGGGATCTCCACTCTTGGATTAATCCTAATTGAAGATCGACACTAATGCGGTGCAGCGGGATGCACCAGATCGATTCCCATGAGAAGCGTAATTCATGGGGTGGGGGTGRGATTAAAAGTGATCAAGGGTCCAGATCCCTTCTTAGGCTTCTCAACTTAAYTCCTATTCTCACACGATCCTTCGTCTTACCATGTGTTACCTTTTTATGGTAGCTTTTATGTAGTTCAATAAAAAGAAAGATTCCATTACTGATAAGGGATTTTTATRTGCTCATAATTTTTATTACTTTCCAGGGAGATGTAGTTGTAAGCTTTGATGGTGTAGATGTTGGATCAGAAGGGACCGTTCCATTCCGATCAACCGAGCGCATTGCATTCCGCTACCTCATTAGTCAAAAGTAAAGACCTTTGGTTCTGCATTCACAACTTACTGTATATAGTTTATCATAGCAACTCCGATGAATCTCTTTTCCCATTCCTTTGTTTTGGCAAGGCTTGAACCCTTGACCTCCAAGGAGACTGGAATCTATTSGTAACCCGGATACCGTTGGGCCATTGGCCGTTTGGTTTGTTCTGCTTTATTTGATAAACTGCATGCTCATGTTTGCACCTTATCTCTGATGTTATGCTTCAGATTCACGGGTGATATAGCAGAGCTTGGTATCATCAGAGCCGGGACTTTCATGAAAGTTCAAACGGCTATGAATCCACGAATTCATTTGGTATGCAGCTGTTAACCCTCATAATGACCTGCTAATGTGAAAATTTCTGGTGTAATTAGTTTGTTATCGTATTACCATGGCTACACTATAGGTACCGTATCATATTGAAGGGGGTCAGCCGTCATACCTAATAGTAGCTGGTTTAGTTTTTACTCCTCTGTCTGAGCCACTGATAGAGTACGTATTCTCTTGGTCTATGCTCTAGATATTATCAAGTAAATGTACAGAAGTTGCTCATGGTTCCCTACTTTTGTGTGAGATTTAATGGGCCAGTTCAGTTTTATCTACGGTAGTCGCTAATGCTTTTATTTCTCTATTTTGCATATTTTCTTCTTGGTAGCGAGGAACGTGAAGATAGCATAGGGGTAAAACAGTCAATTTTTATTTTCATGTTGATGTAGTCATATAGTCCACGATCTCATTGATTTATATATTGATGGTTTATCTTTCTTTTGTTTTTTAGTTAAAACTATTGACTAAGGCACGATACTCCATGGCAAGATTCAAAGGAGAACAGATCGTGGTCTTATCACAGGTATGCATGCTTGAATCCTGATGTAATGGCCTTAGGGCCTGTTTGTTAGCAGCTTAATGAGCTTAATGGGATTCACAGCTTATTCAGTCAGATATACATGACTTTATGGTAGTGGCTTAATGATATAGAAAGTGGCTTATTCARTAAGCTTCTAGGGGAGAGCTTTATGCAGAAAGCCAAGTTTTTTCCCCAAACCTGCCCCTCCAAATTAAAAAACACACTCATTCCATCTATGATAAAACTCACACAAACAAAACTCTTCCCAATCTATACAGACAAAATAATCCCACAGACAACTTTATCCATACATGACTTAATAGAAAACCAACCACACAACCCTTAATCTTACAGTCATATACACCAAATTTCGGCTACATATTTGACTTGGCTAAATTTTGACTTTGATATACCAAACCAAACAGACCCAGTAAATCCCACTTGAAAGTAGGGTCTTTTTTTTTGGTTGGGAGATCGATGACCTGTAACCCAAAGAGTAGAGAGGCTGTTTCCGTCAAAACCACTGCTTATGGACAAATGTTAATTATTATATAATTGGGCATATCTGTGCAGAAGTTTCCACTAAATGCAAACATTTAATATTTCTTTTAGTGAGACTGCGTATCAATTTCCATCCTTGTTCATTGGTTTTTTTCAAAATGCGATTAGAATGTCTTTATTCAACTTGCAGGTATTAGCAAATGAAGTTAACATTGGGTACGAGGATATGAGCAACGAGCAGGCAAGCATTATTTCTTCGACCAACACCTTACAACTTCATTATCATTATTTCCGTTTCTAGTTTATTCTTGGGCAAATTGCATGAAATTGCAAGTACTGTGGTCCCTTTCCTATTTTGTTTGACACCCTCTCATAACCTTCATTTTGGTACCTCAAACTGACATCTCAAACATTTAAGTACCTAGTTTACATATGAAAAGTGCATAAAAATGCAACGTACTTTGATCTGATTCCTATTTTGTGTAACGTATTTTTGTCTAAATGTTTGAGATATCACATCTAAAATACCAAAATGAAGGTTTAAAAGAGGATTGCGTTACATTTTCACGTAATTTACTTTGGACGCACTTCCAACTCAGAAATGCTAAAAGTCGTATAAAATGATTCCGACAGGTTCTGAAGTTCAACGGAACTCGAATAAAGAACATTCATCATCTCGCTCATCTTGTCGATTGTGAGTTCATGCATGCTTAAAGTTCCGTAATTCGTATAAAATCTTCGGTCATTTATGATCCTTAATATCTTGCCACTTTCCTCAGCATGCAAAGAAAAGTACTTGGTTTTTGAATTCGAAGACAATTACCTGGCRGTTTTAGAGCGAGAGGCTTCTTCGGCTGCCTCATCTTGCATTCTTAAAGATTACGGCATACCATCCGAGCGATCTTCTGATCTTCTCGAGCCATAYGTGGACCCTGTTGGAGAAAACCAAGTAATCGAACACCACGATCTTGGTGACAGTCCAATCACAAATTCAGATTTCGGTTTCGATGGTCTTCAATGGGCTTAGTTTCTGTTCGTAATCCAAACCCAAATCTTGATCTCCACATGTCATMTGCAGCCAAATTTTTTTAGGCTCGAGTGTGGCTGCACGCCATTGATTGTCGATTCACACTGAGGCCACATTATTTCTGCTGATATTTGAKAATTTTTTAAGCGTGGAGATGCGGAAAAAAGTTGCAGCTCTGCGGATCGAAGGAAGTTGCAGCGGCGGGCTGAAACCGGTAAGCAAGCATTGTTGTATTTGTATGCTGAGTTATTTGTTGATCTTTCATTGTTTTTGTTTCATAAATTTATAGGAAAACACACACAAAATTTAGTAAGTTAATGARCTTGTAATCTCACATGGGTTTATTGATGGAAAACTGCAATTTCCAGTTGAGAATCGATATAATCATTCTCAATTGAGGATTTTCCTTACAGCTCTTCGAGACCCCTGGATTATTCGAGGTGCGTGTAAGCTGGTCTGGACATCCATGGTTAACAAAAAAAAAAGGACACAATTTTTTTTTGGATTAACCTGGATATCTAACCCGCTATGCGAACCGACTAATCCCAGGGCGATCGCCTGCTTTGCAAATAGCCCAGGTTCACCGTATTTGAACCTCCGTGGCCACAAGGGGACAGTTTTTATAACAACTAAATGGGATGGAAATGCTTTTTTTTTCTTTTGTGTTCCATCAAAATAGATGGAGCAAAACTCAAAACTCAGGGAATGAAACAAGATTGGTAAATTATTGAACTACTACTGTTAAATTAAAACAACCATAAAACCTTTTCAGAATTCTTTCACGTGCTTACGGGGAATCTAATGTAATGGAGGTGTGAGATAGGAACATATAGGAATTCTATTCTATTTAACGTTTGATTTGATCCAATGAAAATCTTATTTACTCATTTATCTGATGGGACATTCTGTTAAGAATTTGTGAAATTATGATAATCTTGAGAATCATGTAATTTATATGATTTTTTTAAT